GAATGGTGTTACCTACATATTTGGTTGCATCAATGTTCCCAATAGGGCCCCTAAAAGGCAGCAATGCTACCCCATGATCATTGTACCACCTCGGCCAAGGTGGCTCTAGATTGCTCCTAGAGCCACCAATGGAACTGAGTTTAATGGCGTCATGGCGTAGAGGGCACCAAGTGTTTGGCTGGTGGTAACAAGGCACCACACCCCAAGCTATAGAATTCCATTAATATATCAGGGTTTAAAAATCACAGGATCAAACAAGGAGAATAATCTGCCACCCTTTTTTTTGTTGGGGAGGTCCAAGTCTAGGGAAGCCCAAAAATATCTGGTTCCTACCAGTTTCCAGATTTTTTCTCAGTTTTTCAAGTATTTGTGCGCTGATCCAGGTTGGTGAATGGAACAGGTGCCCCAACAATACAGGTCAAGAGCCAAAACGACTCTAGGAAGGACCATAATTACTAACTGAATCTGCAATACAGAAATAATGTGTGACTGTTTCAGTATCCTCCATGCATAGTATGAATCTCTTGGTTCTTGGCATTCGGTTTTAAATATGGCGGAGTCCTCCTTGCATAGTATGGCTGTCGGACACTGGAACTACTTGGTTTTGAATATGGTGAATGGTAAGTGCTTTGTCCATAACAGCCAACCAAGTAAAAGCTTGGGTTGTAAAAGGTTAGGAATTTCGAATTTCCCAAACTCTTCATGCAGTTGCTGTTTCAGCAGTGGATCTTGCTAAATGTTAGTAGAACAACTTTACAAAGAGGATTTTGTTGAGTGCAGGTAGAACAAATTTACTTAAAACAACTCAACTTTTTGGCCCTCATACCATTTTTTATTCTACCCTTGGTGGCATATAAACTTTGGTGTCTTCTGAAAGGTGGGATTGATGCTAGTCTCCCATGCATTCTATTCAAGATTTTCAGCAATAAGGCACTGTTTAGTCATTGCAATTGCTAATAGAGTCTTGGTGTTTATCTTTCAAAGTCTGATTTCCAACCGAAACATCTATTTCCAAAATCTAACTTACTTTTCCATTTCTGACTAGTAACCAACATTGGCTCTGAAATTGGATTCTAGTAGAACAGATACTTGTTCATGCACCCTAGACATTCCTTCAGTGTGAGGTATCATTGATTTACCATTCACTGCAACGCCATCACCATTTACCGAGCAAAGTTCCATTAGCCTCTCTGGGTGGAATATGCTTGTTATCTTTATCTCCCCACAGGGACTCTTAAGAATTGTTCTATTCTTTTGACCACTTTTCCTGGCAGCTAGAATCGTGACATGGATTATACTAGTAAGTTTGGCAATGTTGCCCTTAGAAAGGGTTATCCTTCCACCAAAGGATAAATATCAAGATATCCATGTTTGCCAAGTTTCTCTTGAAAATTTCCACTGCCTATCCCATTGTTCATTGTCCAGTTTTTCCTATCATCCTTCTTTCAAAGCTTCAGATCATCTTCTACACACCTATAAGGGAATATCATATAATTTGGGCTCCCTAACACAAAGGTGGGTTCACTGAGAAAGTGAGAAATCCACCAACAAAACATCAAATGGCTGCCTATTGAAAATCTAATTTGGGGGATTCCTGTCACACCTAAAACTCTAGCTTTTGGGTGGCTGATTCTGCTCAATAAAGCCTTAATATTCAAAGAACTAATGCATCAAGGCATGTCAATTCCAAATTACTGCATCATTTGCAGGGAAGAAGCATGATCATTGCAACACTTATTTTTCATTACTTTAATCATGTGAACTATGAGCTGCAGTATTTATGCTGTTTGGGATAGAATGAGTGTTCTTGAATCACTTAACCCTGGTTAAGCAATGGTTCACTCCTCCATTGCCAAAGCTTGGTCTCATGTTTGAGATTAAGTTTGATTGTTCTCATGTAGGAAGTGTGACTGAAGCACAATACGAGATTCCTCAATGGCAAACAACATAGTGTCACATGGCCAAAAAAGCAGACAAAAAACATACCACAATGTCATGGGCTTTAGTTAGAAGAGAGCTTTCAGGTTACTCAATTACCAACTTCAAAACGGCAAACCATATCAAGGATTCAGAAAAACCAGGGAAACCAGTGCTGCTAACTGGATGATGGATGTCACCTGTATAAGGAACAATCAAATCTAACTTTTATGGTACTGCTAAGGGCAGCACTGGATGAGCTAGAATTGGAGGGGTATTCCAAAAGCATCTACGAAGAGTCCTCAAGATTTTCCCAGGCCCTATCCTAGATAGTGATTCCAACAAAGCTATGTTCACACCCTTCTGATACGTCTATGCTGCATATCTTGAACCAGAAAGTATCCTAATCAGGGGGGAATTTGAAGAATGTTATTACACAGCAGATTACCTGTGGCGTCTGAGTAATATTTTCTAGGAGAAATTATGTATGGACTCATTTTCGTGCCCTTTATTACAGTATGGGGCAATTTTTTTGCTAAAATTACATGGAGACCACCCCACCCCACGGCCCTTTGATTTCAAGAATTGTCCACATGACCGACATTTCCAACACCAGGCAAGTGGGGAATCCTAGCAGTTTTCTACTTTTCTCTTACTCAAGGCCTGTCGATATTAGGAACACTGAACAACCGTAATGTTCTGTGTTTCTAGTGTCGAACAGCCCAACTTCCTAAGTTGTCTGGCACTAGAAATATCAGACTTATTACTTGTTATAAGTAATTATAACTATTTGAATTCTTACTATTTAATTAGCATCATAGAATTAGTGTAATTTAATTAATTATACTCCTTTTATATTGTTATTTGTATTTGAATGAGTTTTTTCCTTATCTTTTAATTGATCCTTTACTTTTTTATTTCTAAATTTATGCGCTATTTCTATTCTATTTTTTCTATTCTATTTTAGATTGCTATTTTATCATATTACCATTTCGTATCTAGTTTTTTATATTCTAATTCTAAAATTAGAAAAATAAAATATAACTACAAATCTAATTAAAATTTAAATTAAATATAAAAAAAGATAGAATAGAAATTCTTATTCTCAAATTAGAATAAATATTCTAATAATTAAATACTTCTATCCATTAACCATTTCCAAAAAAAATATTCTATTATATTAGTTATTAAATTATACTATACTAATTAAATAGTAAAAAAGAAAGGGCCGTAACCCGGTGCTAAGCAAGGTCTCGGGAGGGGTGAGCGGAAACAGTCCTAACCTTTGGCTTATGCACAAAGTGATCGCTCTCAAGACTCGAACCTGTGCTCTTGCGCTGGCTACCAGAGCCTTTTACTATCACACCAAGTGACGGCCCCTATTAATTAAATAGTAAGAATTTAAATAATATTTATTTATAATAAGTCCAGTATTTCTAATGCTCGACAACTTAGGAAGTTTGGGCTGTCAGACATTAGAAACACCAAATAATATGGTTGTTCAGTGTTCTTAATATCTTTGAGTAAAAGAAAAATATAAAATTTGCGGGTTTTCCTAGCTATCCGGCATTGGAAATGTCCGACAGGTGGGGGATTATGAAAAAAAAAGGGCTACAAGGTGGGGGTGGTCTCCACATAATTTTTACAAAAAATTGCCTCCTACCGTAATTTGGGGGGAATGTGCCAGTACGTAATTGTTCCTATTACCTATTAAATATATGATATTACCAAAACCCTTAGGCCTCTTTCCAACATTGTAGAGAGGCTACTAACGTTGCTGATTCGTGGCTAAGGCAGTGTCTTAAATTATCTATCTTCCAATTTTAGACTTCAAATATCAATGTTTAGAAACCTATGTTGTCCCATGCTAATTTTTGTACAAGCTCTATATTGAGCATTTGATATTATCAAAAACCTTAAGGTCTAATCCTAACATTCTTGGAGAGGAACTACTGAGATTGCGGATTCATTGCCTAAAAATGGTGTCTGTAAATCATCTCTCTTGAAATTTAAACATCAAAATTTTAATGTTTAAAGGACAATGTTATCCCCGGCCAATTTTTATTAAAAAAAAGTAAAGCCGCATCTCAAATCTCACATGAAAGTGCAGTTCAAGTGTCGGAGAACCCTCAAATTAATCATCTCGACCTTGACCATTATGGACGTGAAAAGAAAAGGGATTTCAAGCCCTAAAAAAACTTTATCTTGTAACACATTATCTAGATAGTTTGTTTTTAAGTGTTCACAAATCTGCACTATTCTTGGTGCTTCAAATTTCATAATCCATCACGGAAATCGGTTGTACTACCATCGTAGGGTCTCCCATGCTTGAAATGTTTTCCCAACGAGGTTTCGAGATAAGCTTGGCTTTTTTTATAAGACCTCATTCTTTCAATTTGATTGGTCCATCATTCGCAATCTTATGGAAGAAACCCAAAAATCTTATAGAAGAATGGCATACTTAACTCCCCCCCCCCCCCCCCCCCTCCTATTAACCATTTCACTCAAGATATTTGACTCCTCTTAACTAAGCGGGAATGTAGAAATACTTCTTTAGCAAGCATGTACGTCCAAGGACAATAAGATATAAATTCATAATAGTTTCAGGAGAAATAAATCCATGGGCATTACACTCTTAGCTATAATTTCAAGAACCCCGTCCAGCAATTTCCCATCTCATTATTAATATAGAGAAGTTGTTACGAATATCAACTCTCAATTTTTTTACTACTTACCATCATCTCTTTTAATTGTAATCACAAGAACAACCAAAGCATTCCCAAACCAGAAATTAATCATGCCATAACCATATAATAGATAAATTCTGTCTCAATCGTAATCATGACAAAAACCATAATTTATCCATGTCATAATTACCTAGTAGAGAAATCATTATCCTAATACGATAAAAAAAAAACCCATGAATACAAACTCTTAGCAACTGCAATCAACAAGAGCAATTGAAGCATGACAAACCAAAATTCTCCCATCTCAGAAAATTCAGAAATTCATATCATCTCAGAAAATTCAGAAATTCATATCCAATCTCAGGGGGAGAGAGACGATTAACAGAACCCACTTACCAGGCATACTAGGAGTAAAACCAAGAGCTCGGCATAGATCAGGAGCCTCCGTCATCCTTCCAATCAAAGAAATGAATTCGAACAAATCATCAGCATCAAAACCAGAGGCCAAACCATAAGTAGCCAGAAGCTGCAAAAATGCATGCGCAGCAGTTGGGGTTCCACCTTCCTTCTCAGTCTCTGTATAAACCTTTTTCTTCCACTCTCCTGCAATCTTCATGGCTCTCTCTTTAATGTCAGGATTCCTATTAGAGTCAATGGTGGAAAGCCTCTCCAGTAAAAGAATACACGCTCTTCTCGTACCATGAACCTCATCTTTAGGGGTTTCTTGCTTGCCTTTTGTTGGGTAAAACTCTAACACACAGTCAAGAACCAATTCTGCAGAGTTAGGGGCTGACCTAAGAGCCATAGGAAGCTCATATCGAATGGCTGGGACCTCGCGTCGATGTTCAATTATGAACTTGAGAAGTCCCTTTGCATCCATTTTTTCACAGAGGGTCTTCAATATTCGCTTCGGCTTCACACCTAGCTTTGAATTACCTGCAGAAGAATTCTCTGGTTTTACTGGAGTATTTTCAGTTTTTCCTGGTTTTGCCACCATTTTTTCTGGAGATACCTCTGCTTTTGCAGGAATTTTTGCGATGTTCTCAGTAGGTTTCTCTGGTTTTTGCTGAATCATCTCTGGTTTTGGCATCAATTTCTCTTTCTCAGAGAGCTTTTCAAGCTTTTCATTGATTTCTTTCTCGATCAAATGGAAATGGGCCTCAATGTCCTTCCATTGAAGGGGCAAGGAAGCCAGAGAGCCGTGAGAAATCAGGCCTTCAAAGGCTTTGTGGAGGTTCTCTTTCTTCTTTGCTACAGCTTTCATGGCCTCTGAAATTGCACTGAAAGAGTCCATCTTTCTCTATGCAAAACCCTACCACTAACACTGAATTGCACTGCAACTCCAAGGCAGAAAGAAAAACCTTAAACCGATTCTGCAAGTTCAAGAAGAAAAAGGCCCACAATGAAGAAGAATCAAAAACCTAAGCCGAGCCCTAACCAATCCAATATGAGAAGACAAAACCACTAGTGTAAACCCTAGCAGAGCCCATATCTGCAATGTTCAAATGGTTCAGGGAAAACCCTAGCCCCAAAGAGAGGAGTGACTTTTTCACCTACGGGTGACGGAGAACTTTGATGAGGAAGAGAAACTCATCTCCACCGTCCGCTACTTTGTCTACGCTATTCGCACGACGACTATGGTTATTTTCCCAACATTATTGTAACGGCTCACTGTTTTATAGTCGTCGGATTCTTTTAGAGAAATGATCCACGCCGTTACTTTCCTTCACGGGACCTGTACATGATAGTCACCATCTAAACATTACTGCTTACAAAAGCTCTTGATGGCCATCAGTCCAACCATCATCAAGACCGCACGGTTCTGACGTGCTTTGGCAAATGTGGTCTAAAATGAAAGATTAAGTTTGGTTTAAAATCAGCAAAACAACATTTTATCAATTTCACCATATTATTAAAGCGGCTGGTTTTGGATTTCACCATGTGAGCAATTTTGCCTTCAAAAGCTCCTCATGGCATGAGTCCAACAATAGTATCAAGAGCACGGCTTCCGACGTCTCTTCATATGTTTGGTCTAAAATAAAAATTAAATTTAGCGTATTAGACTGGTTAAACAAAATTGAAAAAAATTTATAATATATTTCATATTATTATACTACTATGTTTATTTTTTATTTTTTTAAAATTCAGTTCAATATATTCAACAAAAAAAAAAAGGCTCAATATATTCAACAAATTTTAGGAAGAATTATCATCAATTGTACAACTTATTTTTCCGATTAAATATTGTATACTTTGTTTTAAAGGAAAATATCTTCGTACCCCTTATTTAAAATTTTTATTCACCCATAGTTTCACGATACATCTTGGGGCATTGAATTCCTAGGTTTCATATTTTTTACTCTTTTGAGTAACTTCATCCACTTTAAACATATTTTTTTAGCCCAAATAAGTATGAGAAAAACATGTCCTTTTTAAACCTCATTCTTTCTCTCTCCTCACGTTATATTCTCCCATCTTCTCTCTCTTTCTATCACTCCTCCTTAATTCGCCCCAAACCCCTTCTCTCTCTACATATTTTCCCAACTCTCTCTCCTCGTCTCTCTCTCCACTTGTATTTCCTCAATTTCTCATCTCTCTCCTCATCTCTCTCTCTCTCCTCCCATATTTCCCCAAACCCCCCCTCTCTCTGCCTATGTTTCCCCAACCCCTACCTTTCCCCAACCTCTCTCTCTCCGTGTTTATTGGTTTCCACAACAAAATAATGAGTATTTACCGGTCTAGTGTTTCCACAAAAAAGAAGAGAAAGATCGCCCTCACTTCCACATGAATAATCTAGCAACATCCATGTAATAGTATTGTCCATATTAAGATATAGATCCACTCTATAGACCCAGAAGGGGCTATGGTATCTTAAACAAAATCACCTTCTAATGAACATGGTGAATACAAGATCAATAGTAAATTAGAGATCTCCAAAGGCTCTTCAAATGGATCCAACAATCTCCATGATTAGGGCCTCCCATAACAGTATATATAATTATGTTCACATTCCCCTTCTACAATTAGTTTGGTTGAAGAAAGAAACAATGAAGAGCTTAAGGCCTTAAAGCAAGGCGGTAACCTCTCTCCTCCATGGAATCCATGAAAGTCCTTTACATAGTACCAATTCAAACCAGAACATTTTTTTTGCATAAATCCAAGTTGATTTCCTAGTATTTCCCCATGGTGGTAAGTGTTGTGCATGGAAGCGCTATACCTGATTTGTTGATTTTTGACGAACCAAACAACAAGCAACAAAAATAAAACAAAAAATAAATAACAGAAAAAAAAACACTAGGATTTACGTGGTTCGTCACAGATGTAACTACATCCACAGGCGAAGACAATCGATATTTTTCATTAAATCAAAAAAAAAAAACTACAAAAGAACTTACTTAAGAGAATAAGAGATTCAATATCCCACAAAGCATTATTCTCTGCAATATTCTCTCTCTGCAAAAACCTCCAAAAGTTTCTCTCTATTTTTCTGGATCTTTTTCTCTCTCTAAATAACCCAATATATAGAAAAAGCAAAACCACCCAAAAGAGGTGGTAGGTGAGGCTCTATCTTTTTCCATAACTTTTAGTTACATAAGTTCATATTTATCTCGTGTGGATTCTCATGTCTATTCTAATATAACTAGAACTAACTCAAAAAGATAATTTCCTAAATAATAAGAACAAATCCAAATATATGTCACATGATGCCCCTATCTCTTGCCACTCTAGAGATATTCAAAAAATATTTGTTTCCTAAAATTTGGAATCAATGTCCCATTAAATATAGAAACCTAGAGATATCACGTGGCTTTTCTTGGAATGCAAGGCACGTCAACAATCTCCACCTTGACTTGGATTCCAAAAGAGATTCCAATCAACCGTCTTCTCCACACGCGTCCCCATAGGCGCTTACCTTGGCAACACATTAGTTAAGTCCAAGCATTGCTTGAACTTCTGTAATGAAACCGGTTTTGTCAACATATCTGCAACATTCTTCTTAGTGTCAATTTTTTGTAATAAGATATCACCTTCAGCTATGATCTCACGGATAAAATGATATCTAACATCAATATGCTTATTCCTTGCATGATATACCTGGTTCTTGGCCAAATGTATTGCACTCTAACAATCACAATAAATAATAATCTCATCATGTCGTAAGCCCAAATCGCTTACAAGCCCTCTAAGCCAAATGACTTATTTCACTACCTCAGTAACAACAATGTATTATGCTTCGATCATAAACAAGTGTGATGACCCAAAATTTTTCCCGGTCAGTTAGAAGGCATGTCGGGATAGGGACGCTGAAGAAGAGGCTAGCGCCGGTTGGAAGAGCCAGCACAGGGTGAGTTGGATAAGAGGCCAGCGCCGGTTGGAAGAGCCCGCGCCGAGTGAATTGGAGAAGAGACCAGCGCTGGTTGGAAGAGCCAGCACCAGGTGAGTTGGTGAAGAGGCCTGCGCTGGTTGAAAGAGCCAGCATAGGGTGAGTTGGAGAAGAGACCAGCGCCGGTTGGAAGAGCCAGCGCTGGATGAGTTGGAGAAGAGGCCAACGCCGGCTGGAAGAACCAACACAGGGTGAGTTGGAGAAGAGACCATCGCCATTTAGAAGAGCCAACGCCGAGTGAGTTAGAGAAGAGGCCAGCGCCTATTGGAAGAGTCAACGCTGGGTGAGTTGGAGAAGATGTCAGCGCCAAGTGAGTTGGAGAAGAGGTCAGCGCCGGTTGGAAGAGCCAACGAAGGGTGGATTTGTGTGCAGTGCCGATTGTGTCTCTGACATTCATGAGTTGTGTATGCCACTTGTTGTATGCATACTGATTGAGTGCTACATGTCTAGATTTTACAGTCTTTTAGTAACACTTGGCCAACCACCTCAACCCAAGAGTACTTAAGTACCCTTCCCCACCCGTGCCACCCATTCTTACTTCATTTCGCTCTCTAAGACACAAGGTGGGAGGAAGAGACTATTGGTGGGCCGCCACTGTTGGGCGAGTAAGAGCTGTGAGAAGAGGAGTGGAGAAGTCACCATTGTTGTTTAGGTAAGTGGATCCATCACCATCGCATAATAGTCTTAAGGATGCATGGAAATTATGCATATAAAATGAGAATGAAAGTATATGTGATGTAAGAAAATCCTTACACCTTTTTATTTAGAAATTGAGGCTCTTGTTCTATGATAATGGTGAATGTCAAGAATGAATGCATGATTCTTAAATTATGTAAGAAATACATTGTCACACCCCAAGAATTTACAATACTGTTATTCCTGAGATGTGACAGACAAAACATATATACATCTATTGATAGGACAAATTTACAGTGGCGAGGTCTTACAAAGTAACAAAAGAAAGTTTAAGCAAAACTACAATATCTTCTCAAAGTTGATCTTGACGAGGACACAAATGAAACCGCAGTTATCCTGAAAAATGTTTGCCATAGTTTGATGAGTTTGGCTACTCAGTAAGTGATCATCGTAATCCTAAAAATAATCATGATTGAAAGATATCAATATTTTTCAAAATGAGATCTATTAATAGAAATGCATTAACAATTTCACTTTCAATAATTGCCTAATTAAGTATAATCCGAGTAATTGAAATGCTTATAACACTTTTAACGACAGTACATAATTCAAAGGATTTCACAAAATACCCTACTGGCGTCCCAAGTAGGTCACATATAGACCCCATCAGCGTCCTGATGGGTCCACTTAATCCCTATCGGCATCCCAGATAGGTCCACTTAATCCCTGCATGTCCACTTATACCCCACCGGCGTACCGGATGAGTCCACTTAATCCCTACCAGCGTCCCAGATAGGTCCACTTATACATCACCGGCGAACTGGATGAGGCCACTTGCATACTTAAATTATTTCTAAATCTGTTTAAACATTCGAAAGCAGCAATATCATGTACGCAACATATCAC